TACTAGGGCTCATGTCTATTGAGGAACATACCTTCTGTCCTCAAATAATTCCTGGACAAAAAACAACTAAATAGTTTGATGGTTACAGCTTCCTCACAGACAAAGGTATCGTTGTCGATTAGTCTTAACATTTTTAGTTTTTTAATTTCTTTACTCACAAATGTCTGATCTGCTAGAGGTAACCATTGGTGCTAGCAAATGTTTTTCTTCTTCTTCTAATTGGTCCTTTATGGAAGAAAAATTGAGGGAGAGCTGGTAGAAGTACTGTATTTGCATGCCATGGGCCTAGCCTGCGCCAGATTTGCACCTGCTTACTAGCAGCTAGAAATCTCTTGGTTGCATGCTACACATTTAACATAGCTTATATTTCAACTTTGTAACTTTATCTTCTGGAATCCCTCTGACCCAACAGAATTTGAATGCTGGTGGGTTGATTCCTTCTTTCCTAATCTCTGGTTATGAATTCAAGAACTTGGGGTTCAGAGGAGGCCTTTTGTTTTCTTTTAGGAGTCCTGTGGAACAGTGGTTGTACTGCAGGACTGCAGTGTGAAGACTCTACCCATGACCTGAGTTTGACCCCTGGCCCAGGGAGCTGGCTTGCGGTTGACCCACCCTTCCATCTTTCCAAGCTCAGTACATTGAGTACCCAGCAAGTGGGCGGGGCGTAGCCTGCAGAATTAAAATTTGTAAACCACCTAGAGAGTGTTTTAACTGCTATGGGGTGGTATATAAGCAGCAAACTTGGCTTGGTTTGGTTTTCTGAATAATTTTGTGATACAATAGTTAATTGTATCAATAGTTAATTGTATCAAAAGAGGCAACTTTCCTACAGACTGGTGACATGTACTTGAGCCAGTATGTTTTCAAAATTTTCATATCAGAAGGGAATTGCCATTGACACAAGCATAGCGCAAAAAACAAACAACCCCCCCCAACAAAACCCAATTCCCCTATCCTTCTCAAAAGCATTAAATAAATATATTCTATCATGAATTTAATTCCAATCTCTGAAGAAAGAGGTGCAATGCACTGCTCATATGTTGAGCATGACTAACAATGTTGTTTACACATTTGGGTTGCTGTGGTGACAGTAACACATACATATGAAAGTTCAGGCAGCAACATTTTGGCAATATCATTAGATTCCACACAGCTTACAAAATCCTCTTCATTTGCTGGGATTTTCTGTCACTGATACCCAGCTTGGCTCCATAACAAAATGCTCTTAATTGGCTGAAGCAAAAGCTGGCAAACAAAATATAATGTACACTTTGTTGACTGTTTTTGCTGTACTTCCCAGCTACCTGTCTTAGTCATATGCACATTCCTTCCACCTTCTCCAAAACCTTGAACAAACTTAGAATTGGCTCACCTGTACCTATGTTAGCTAGGACCAGGCCGAGACATTTTGCTACCTGAGAAATAGCAGCAGATACCACTCCCCATAACTCAGATGGGGAGTTTGAGTTAAGAAGTCAAAGTCAAGAAGCAGGAAGTCCCTTCCGTACTTCACCCTAAAATGTCCAAGGGGGTTGCCATGTTGCAACAGACAACTAAGAGCCTTGTGGCACCTCATGGAATAGCACAAATATTTTACTTGTCCTAAACAGGGTGTTGTTGTTATTATTTAGTCGTTAAGTCATGTCCAACTCTTTGTGACTGCATGGACCAGAGCACGCCAGGCCCTCCTGTCTTCCACTGCCTCCCAGAGTTTGGTCAAATTCATGTTGGTAGCTTCAATGATACTGTCCAACTATCTCATCCTTACAGGGTGTAGCTTACTTATAAAGATGCAACTAAAAATGTTGGCTATAGTTCATGAAAGCTTATTCAAAAAAATGTGAGTCTTTAAGATGTTTTGCTGCTCAAGGTAAATTATTGTATTTTTGCCTTCTGGTCTTTGGATTCACCCACCACAGGAATGCAGAGAACATCCCTGGTACTGAATGTGACCCTTAAACTGAAAGAAAATCCCCACTCTTGCATTCAGTCATTCAAATCCTGGTTTATCATTTAAGAAATTTCTTGATTTAAAGCCCTTTCCCAGCTTTAGCAAGACTATACTGCAATATTTGGTTGTCAATCCCATTTGTTTTATCTAAAGATGATGCCATTTTTCTTTGAGAAAGAGAGAGAAAGAGAGAGAAAGGAGCTTGTTTGACATTTATTTTTATTTCTTGTTTTTGGCTCAGGTGTAACATAAGATCCTATTTCTGTGCTAGCAATAGTGAAATCCAGAAGGCACGGTGAGTTGATTAATTCAGTTGAGCTGATGCCATCCTCTGACGCGCAGAGTGGAAGCTAAGCAACAGCAGGCTCCCCAGCCTTGAAAGGCAAATGGCAGTCATGATACCACTGAAACTATGCCAGGGGGCATCAGTGTAACAGAGAAATTGGTACAGTTGCCAGAAGCATTCATCAGCTGTCCGGCAGGGGATTTGACAAGGAGAGGCTTGATGACACACAAGCCACAAACAAAGAGAGATATCCTCACATTTGTGTCATCATCTGTCACTGGGATGGCTCACTGCTAGTGAGTGTCTCTGTATCAATTATGGAACAGATCTCAGGTTCAATCTCAGTGCAACTAGAAAAGGAAGTGCTTTCATAGTGATATGCAAAACAGATGTTATTTATTCAAGACCTACTAAGCCAAACATCTAACCTGTCGAGGGCATCTTCTATATCCCACCTAGTACTGACAATTATTTTGTAGCAAAAAGCAAAACTAGATTTGATTCTTTTTGTAGCACACCCTTACACAATTGGTAAGAATCTTGTCTGTTTATCCTATCAGCAGAAATACTTGACCGTGTACCTAGTGTAAAGGTAAAGGTAAAGGTTCCCCTTGACAATTTTTTGTCCAGTCGTGTTCGACTCTAGGGGGCCGTGCTCATCCCCGTTTCCAAGCCATAGAGCCAGCGTTTTGTCCGAAGACAATCTTCCATGGTCACATGGCCAGTGCGACTTAGACACGGAACGCTGTTACCTTCCCACCGAGGTGGTCCCTATTGATCTACTTGCATTTGCATGCTTTCGAACTGCTAGGTTGGCGGGAGCTGGGACAAGCGACGGGCACTCACTCCGTTGTGTGGATTCGATCTTATGACTGCTTGGTCTTCTGACCCTGCAGCACAGGCTTCTGTGGTTTAGCCCACAGTGCCACCACGTACCTAGTGTACATGATAAAAATTCCATCATACAATCTGCAGAGGCAGTGAATACCCTCCAGGTTTTACCTCTCCGAGTCCAGCTTTATGTTAGTAGGAGATAGGGACACGAAGAATATCTGCTATATTCTTTCTTCTCATTTATTCAGCCTGTTGCAACATGGTAAGATACCCTGACAAGGAATTTCAAAGTCCTACAAGATTCCTTGCCTCCAGACCGAGAGGAAGACAAAAACTGCCCCATCACAATTTTTGCAATTTGCACATAATACCTGTGTAGATGTCTTAAGAAAAATTGGTGCCTTTTCTGTTTAAGAAACAAACTACACCCAAACATTACAACTACAGTATCTGTTTGATTGTTATAGAAGATACAAACAACCCATCTAATCTTCTGATTTTGAAAGTCCATGCAATGATAAGCAGCTATTATATTGCTCTACAAATTTGATCAGTGATGCATTTGCACAAGACATGAAATGGTGCAAAACAATAACTGAGTTGATACCCCCAACTCAGTTGTGCAATAAAAATGTTGTTTTGTTCTGTTTTTCACAACCCCTTGTTCCTGCTTATAGGTATGAGTCAAGGAAGGATATACATCTCTGGTGCAGGAGGATGCTTGGCTGCTGGATTCACACATAAACATATACTCCACCTCTCTGTCTCTGGTAATGATTGGTGTAGACATTCAAGACATGATGGTGTGTTCTTCAGCCTTAATCTACAACAATGCAAACAGTAGCCAATCAGTTGAAATAGTGAAATGTTGAATTTGGTGTGACAACGTTTGTTGTTTTTGCCAAGGGATACTAGAGATATAGAAGTGTGGGGACAGCATGATTGTCTTCAGTAGTCATACGTCCTCATAATATACAGCTACACTGTTACTTAAAGCTATCTATGGTCGGGAGAGGAGGTCTGCCAGTTTTCCAATTCTCCCAGATTTAAATGACAGACACTTTATATTCTTAATAACTTCTGGGTTGGATCTTCCTTCCCCTGTGCCTGAATTTTGGGCACCTCTGAAGAACATTGTATAATATGATAGTGGTGGTGGTGGAAAACTGCAGGAAAAATAAGTGAAAATCACTTTTCTTTAGTGGAAACCTTTTGCAAGATTTGTTTTGCATATGCATGGAAACTAATGTTTGGAATAGGGCTATGCAACATAACCAGACAAATTCCAAAGCACTAACTGATTTACAGGTATTCATGAATCTCTATGGGTATTATACAGTACAACAGAGAAAAGAGCTCCAGAGCACCAACCAAGGTGGAAACAGCTCCCCTCTTTCAGATGCTTCTTGCTCACTCTGACAATTGTGGGAAAGAGAAATTGAAACTATCAATACTTTATAAGAGAGATACCTGGCAACTGGTGTCAATGGGGGAGACTGAAAGCTGAAACCTTGAGTGAAGAAGATGCATGATATACGTGCAAGGATAAACATATTCAACTTTAATTCTTTAATTCTCTTTTTATGACTATAGAAATGTATAATAGAAGGACAAGAGTAATGGTGGCTTCACATAGTATCTACTGTTTTATTCCTTGCTCTTGGTCTTGGACGACATTCATAGGTTTCCATTCCCCCATTTAACTGCAGACATTTGGACATTTTCTTTATAATTCATCACAAGGCAGCACATTTCTTCATTTTGCTAACACTTAATTTTTGCATACTGGAATGAGCAGAAATGAATTAGAGCCAAATAACTGACATAGCCTTCTGTTTGGGCATCGACATTCTGTTTCAGGAAAATATACAAATTTAAAGACATCTAGCAGTTACCCTGAGTTTTGATTTTTTTTTATTTTTTTTTTTTAGTATCCCTTTGGCCTTGTCCTAGTTCTCAAATTCTAAACAACTTGGAAAAGCAAATTTATTAAGAGAGCTTATCAAGGAAATGTTAGCCTCTGTTATCAAAGCTGTTGCAATCTTATTGACAGCTCTTACAAAAGAAAAATCAAAACCAAAACTCATCCCCACCACTACTCCTTGTACTTGTTCTGTCTCGGCTTTTCAGCCTCAGCACATCCATAACGCTTCGAGCGTACACGTCTCGTAAGTTAATGCTGCTGTTGGAGTCACTGGACATGTTCTTTGTGAGCTTCTTCAAGGCTTCCCTCTGACGAAGAGCCGCTTCCTTTATCTTCAGTGTAAAATAGCAGGTTGAAAATCGATCATTGATTATGGCTATTGGCAAAGCTAGGACGAGTATTCCAGATAATATGCACATAAATGCAACTATTTTGCCAGCTGTTGTGTCTGGTCTAAGGTCTCCATAGCCAACTGTTGTCATGGATGTCGTAGCCCACCACCAGGCACAGGGCACACTTGAGAAGGCTGTACCAGGGATACCTTGCTCAACGAAATACTCCACGGTGGAAAAAATGGAGATGCCCACCGAGAGAAAAAGTAGAAGCATGCCAACTTCTTCATAGCACTGTGCAATTGTCATTGCAAGAGACCGCAAACCTAGAACATAAAATAAGAGTTTTTGTTACATCCAGTGCCTTTCTTCTTGGGAGAAACTACCTTTTCCATCTTAAGTTCTAGCAAGATGTAGCAGTTAGAGGGCTGATCTTGGACTTTGGAAGTCCAGATTCTAGTCCCTGCTGAGCTATGGAAGTCTCTGGTTGATTTGTGCCAGTCGTTCTATCTTAGCCTGAACTGTCTTGGAGAGTTATTTGGAAGAAAGATGGGATACCAGTGCTATCAACAAATAACAGAAGGAAAGGAAAAAAATGTGGGTGGGTGGTGACAGCTTCATTCTCTCAGACTGTCACCTCCCCATCAAGTAAGAAATAGATCTTAACTAATGGGAAGCATCCACCAACGAATACGAAACATCATGCCTGAAAGCAAAGATGTCCTGTAGCTACTGTATATCTAGGATTTTTATGAAATCATGGCTAGAAAATGGCTCCACAACCTTCTTAGACAGCACATTCCACAGCTAAGCTGCTTGTATTGTTAATATATTCACTGCTGTCATTACGTGCACTCCTCTGAGTCTCACCACTGTTTCTTTCCTTATAAGAAAGAACATCATAAGACACGTACTGGCAATGTCTCTGCTCAAGGAGGTGTCCCTCTGATGAATATTCCACTGTTTCGGAAAGGTGAAGCAAAATCATAATGTCTTTATATATAGCACTGTAGTACATTAGAGACACTTTGGAGACCCATTAAAACAAAATGTTTTAAGCTGGGCAAGCCCAAGCCATTTTGCTGTCCGTGGCAAAGGAGAAAATGGTATCCCCATCAATTCTATGTATGCTAAGCCAACTGAATGGGCCACTGCATTTTACTGTAGCACACCTGAAGACAGTGAGCTGGTTTATAGGGTATAACAGAGGCTGAAGCTCAGGAATAATTGTTGGGGGGACTGCAGTTCCTCTAGCATCTGCTTCCCTCTGTCTAATGATAGGGCCAGCCCTGTTTATAGAAATACCCCAGGAAGGTGATAGAAGACATTTTACTGATCAGGGCAACACGTCAATGGTTACCCAATATTGCATTAAAATAATCTTTATAGAATAAAATTATGATAGCTCTCTTTTATCAAGTATAAATCATGCATACTTATATGCACCAAACAGCTTGTTTTAAAGCTATTTTTTTTTATTTTAAAGAATTTCTATGGAATATTTGAGGATAAAATTATCCTTTAACCACAAAGAAATATTCAAAATCTTTCACCAGCCCTTGAAGCACACCAGTTCCCAGTATCCACCTCTATAGCAAACTGAACCCAGTGTTTAATAAGAGGGAAGGCAAAGTTTAGCAAAGAGGATGTGAAAGGCTTTTGGAGGATGAAATGGCAACGTCTCAATAAACATGAGCAGCTTCTAAAAAACATTAACTGTAATATTTCTGACACCATTAAAACAGTTAGTTTCTTGGATCACTTGGGAATCAACCAGCACTCAGCAAAACAGAACAGATTCTTCCTATATCTTGGAAACAGTACTTCTGTGTAACTCACAATAGCATCTCCCCTTTTATAGAAGCATAACAACGTTGGTTTGTATTTAGTGTATTGGCTCAGTTCTCCTCAAGGCCTGAAGAGCTTATTCACTCATGGTCCTATTTTGCCTTTGGGGATTCCTGCATGGAAGCAGTAGCTACGTCCACTTGCAACACCTCAATCTGAACACACTTGAAAGAAGGGCAGTGAGAGCTATGCATAATCAGGAGTGTTCTCTTGGTACAGTGGAGCTCCACTGAGGCATTGCGAAAAGGGAAGGCGTCTCCTCAGCATTAGGGACTATCTGGGCTCTCCCTGTTCTTGAGAGAAACTCTGTCTTCTTAAATTCCAGTGGGATGGAGTGGTTAGAGGACTAGCCTGGCCTATTGTGCTGTACGGTCACGTACAGAAGTTTCTAACTTACAATGACCCTAACAGGGTTTTTGAAGTATGCAAGGTGTTCAAAGAGAGGTTTATCTTTGACATACCCCAAAGAGTTACCGTGACTGAGTTGAATTTTGAACATGAGTCCTCGTCCCTCTTTCGCCACTACACCATACGGACTCTCGCAAGTAGCAGCAATAGGCTAGCAGACTGCCAGTGTTTATCATCAAGTGACCATGAGCATCTATGAACCAGATATTACATGCTCATCTTGTCAGATATAGTGAGTAAAGTTGGGTCAAAGCAGCAACCAAAAAATAAAGGCTGTTTTCTCAGACTCTCACCTTCCCTTCATGGGATTCCATTTCTTCTCTTCTCTCTGTATAAGCTATTACTGAGTAAAATACTTCTGGAAAAAGTTCATCATAGGTGATGGCTGAGCATCAGCTCTAATGTTATATAGAGTGTTGGTTTATAGTCCAAGGATTCTCAGTTTATAATTCATCATTGAGATTGCATGCTCAGGAGATAGTCTCCTGATAGTTGGGATTTTCTGTTTTGTAACAAGATACCATTCTAGACTCTAGCTCATGAGATAGGGCAGCTGTACAACTGAAAAGACCATCTGGAGCTGGATTGAGGAAAGAGGAATCTGAGCCTTTAGCAAAAACTAGGAGTATCTTCTGCCCTCTGGAAACTTTGGCCTCCATTTTAGCTCTGCCTGCATAAAATATATTCAGATATCTAAGGAGGTGGCACACAGACAAGGGACCAAAATCTAATTGTTAGTCCCCACACTGAACCCTTGTGTAACAACAACAACAACAACAACAACAACAACAGCAGCAACAGCAACAGCAACAGCAACAGCAACAGCAACAGCAACAGCAACAACAACAACAACAACAACAGCAACAGCAACAGCAACAGCAACAGCAACAGCAACAGCAACAGCAACAGCAACAGCAACAGCAACAGCAACAGCAACAGCAACAGCAACAGCAACAGCAACAGCAACAGCAACAGCAACAGCAACAGCAACAGCAACAGCAACAGCAACAGCAACAGCAACAGCAACAGCAACAGCAACAGCAACAGCAACAGCAACAGCAACAGCAACAGCAACAGCAACAGCAACAGCAACAGCAACAGCAACAGCAACAGCAACAGCAACAGCAACAGCAACAGCAACAGCAACAGCAACAGCAACAGCAACAGCAACAGCAACAGCAACAGCAACAGCAACAGCAACAGCAACAGCAACAGCAACAGCAACAGCAACAGCAACAGCAACAGCAACAGCAACAGCAACAGCAACAGCAACAGCAACAGCAACAGCAACAGCAACAGCAACAGCAACAGCAACAGCAACAGCAACAGCAACAGCAACAGCAACAGCAACAGCAACAGCAACAGCAACAGCAACAGCAACAGCAACAGCAACAGCAACAGCAACAGCAACAGCAACAGCAACAGCAACAGCAACAGCAACAGCAACAGCAACAGCAACAGCAACAGCAACAGCAACAGCAACAGCAACAGCAACAGCAACAGCAACAGCAACAGCAACAGCAACAGCAACAGCAACAGCAACAGCAACAGCAACAGCAACAGCAACAGCAACAGCAACAGCAACA